CTTTTAAAAAACAAAAAAAAAAAGGGGGGCGGAGCCTGTGGCGCCCTCGGGAGGGTGTGGCACTGGGAGCGTGGCAGCGCTCCCGCCGCGGGTTCAGATCCTGTATAGGGATGACCGGTGTGCTCACAGCACTCACTGGCTGAGTGCGGTGCGGCCAGTCTCAAAAAGGACAAAAAAATAAAAATAAAAATAAAAATAAAAAAAATAAAAATATGTACATCCACACATTCTTAGAGTATCTCCGGTCTGGAAGGAAATAAAATAAGTTGGTAGAAGTGGTTTGAATGTTTTACTTTGTGCATTCAAAATAAGTAGAATTCTTCCTAGCCAGAATATTAAGCAAGAGAAGTAAATAAAGGACATCCAAATTGGAAAAGAGGAAGTCAAATTGTCCTTGTTTGCAGATGACACAATCTTACATTTAGAAAAACTGGGTTGGCCGGTTAGTTAGAACATGGTACTGATGACATCTAACATCCAGGGTTAGGTCCCTGTACCGGCCAGCTGCCAAAACAAATAAAAAACAAACAAAAAGAAAAACCAAAAGACTCCACTAAAAAAACTCTTAAAACTGATAAATGAATTTGTTAAAGTGGCAGGACGCAAAATCAACAAACAAAAATTAGTAGCATTTCTATACACCAACAGTGAACAATCTGAAAAAAAATAAATGAAGAAAGCAATCTCATTTATAAAGAGCTACCAAAAAAAAAAAAAAAAAAAAGGCTGGCCCACAGCCATCTAGTTTTTGACAAAGGCACCAAGAACATACATTGGGGAAAGGACAGTCTTTTCAATAAATGGTGCTGGGAAAACTGGATATCCATAGGCAGAAGAATGAAACTAGACCCCTGTCTTTCACCATATACAAAAATCAACTAAAATGGATTAAAGACTTGAATGTAAGTCTGAAACTAAGAAACTACTAGAAGAAAACATTGGGGAAATGCTTCAGGACATTGGTCTGGGCAAAGATTTTTTGGGTAAAGCACAAGCAACAAAAGCCAAAATAGATGAGATTATATCAAACTAAAAAGCTTATACCAGCACAGGAAACAATCAAGAGTGAAGAGGCAGCCTCCAGAATGGGAAAAAATATTTGTGAACTATTCATCCAATAAGGGATTAATAACCAGAATGTATAAGGAACTTAAGTAACTCAACAGCCAAAAAAAAAAAAAAAAAAAATCCAATGAAAAAATTGGCAAATGATCTGATTAGACATTTCTCAAAAGGAGACACACAAATGGCAAATAGGTATATGAAAAACGCTCAACATTACAAATCATTAGGGAAATGCAACCTAAAACCACAATTAGATAACATCTCACCCCAGTTAAAATTACCATTATAAAAAAGATAGAAAATAACAAATGCTGGTGAGGATGCAGACAAAGGGCAACTGTAATACACTGTTGGTGGGATGTAAATTAGTACAGCTGTTATGGAGAACAGTACGGAGGTTCCTCAAAAACCCACAAATGGAAATAGCATATGATCCAGTAATCTCATTACTGAGTATATAGATCCAAAAGAAAGGAAATCAGTATGTCAGAGGGATATCTGCACTGCTATGTTTATTGCAGCACTGTTTACAATAGCCAAGATATGGAATCAACTTAAGTGACCATCAATGGATAAATGGATAAAGAAAATGTGGTATAAATACAAAATTGAATTTTATTCAGCCATAAAAAAAGAACGAAATCCTGCCATTTGCAGCAACATGGATGAGCCTGGAGGACACTATACTAAGTAAAGTAAGTCAAGCACAGAAAGATAAATATCCCATATTCTCACTCATACATGGGAACTAAAAAAGTTGATCTCATAGAAGTAGAGTGTAGAGTAGTGGTTACCAGAGGCTGAGAAGGGTAGGAAGAATGGGGGAATAGGGAGAAGTTGGTTAATGGGTACAAAAATGCAGTTAAATAAGGGGAATAAGTTCTAGTGTTCAACAGCACAATAGGGTGACTATAGTTAACAATAATTTATTGTATATTTCAAAATAGCTAGAAGAGAGGATTTGGAATGTTCCCAGCACAAAGAAATGATAAATGTTTGAGATGATGCATATTCTAATTACCCTCATTTGATCATTACACATGTATACATGTATCAAAATATCACATGTACTCCATAAATATGTACAGCACAAAGAAATGATAAATGTTTGAGATGATGCATATTCTAATTACCCTGATTTGATCATTACACATGTATACATGTATCAAAATATCACATGTACTCCATAAATATGTACAATTTTATGTATCAATTAAAATTAGTTTTTTAAATAAATAGAAATTTTAAAAAATTGTCAAAATAAGACCCATCAGAAGTGGAGAACATATGAAAATCACAGCATATCAGGGCTAGAAGGAACCTTACAGATTAGAAAACTGATTCTCAGAGAGGACATAGATTTGCCCAAGGAGGATGATCCATTTCCTTGTGGCTTTAGCTGCTACTAACCTCCAACTGCTTTCAAGAATGTCAGCTATGTGAACCTATGGATTATGTAAAAAGAAAAAAAAAAGAATGTCACCTAAAAGTGCCTACCTCCATTTCCTTTTCCAATCTCACCTTTGCCTGTTAGAAGAGCTCCATTCTTAAGTTTGGATGTGGGGGTTAGGTGACAGCTTGGGGAGGCAGAGCTGTTTTTGTGGGGAGCAGCAGTGACTCTCAGGTTCTTCAGAATATGTTTGACCATAGTCCGTCTCTCTGAATATACAAGGTTGACTTTCACTTTGCTCCCAGAGCCAAGGCACTGCAGGGAAACCATAGTCTGATTTTGGATGAATGTGGCCCTTTTGGCTTCTGTGTGAGTTTCTGGAAGAAGAGCCAGACAGAAAAATGAAGCTGGTTCTTAATCTGAACAGTGCCCAGCTAGCCCACTTCCGTTTATTTCCCCTGTTAAACTCCACTACTGCATTTTCTCCTTTTTAGTTCATTTCTTCCTCAGTATGTATTTATGGTATTAAATATACAAGTCCTGCCTTTCTTCCTTTCTGCCACTGGTCCAAAGAAGATAGGTGACTGCAGTAAATTAAACACAGAAAAATGCTCATAGATTGTTTACTTTATTTTATTTATTTATTTTTTTTACATTTTAATTTTTATTTGAAGTAAAAAATATACAAATCACCCAATGTAATTTTAGCAAACAGAAACTGGAATTCCATGTAAATGGGAAAAGTGGACTAATGGGTACAAAACTATGCTTCCTGCCCTTAGTGATCATTGTGCAGTATACACATGTATTGAAACAACGTACTGTACTCCATAAATATGTACAAATAAATGTTAAAATTAAATTAATATATATACATATATTTAATCAGTGATTTAATTTCTTCATATACTCGGTTCACAAGGTTATAAAGTTAATTCCTCCAGACATTCAAGAAAGAAACTATTCTAATCCAAACTTGTCCAAATGATTTTAAAACAAGAAAATCTCTCCATTTTTTTATAATTAAAGAATCTAGCAAAAATCTATAGAAAGAATCATAGCTATAGTTGAAACATAGAAGCTATTTACTTTGACATAAGAATAGTTTTAAAACATTGCTGTTATTGTGTTTAACATTGCATTGGAAGTCCTAAAGAGTTTAGCCAGATAATCTATTCATTGAATTATAGCATGGAATAATTAGAAATTCTTTCAAAGCAAAATTAGTATTTTATAATTTTTTTTTTTTTTTTNGCCTTTTTACACATTTTGTTATTTATCATTTTTGTCATTTTATTTTTGTATTTATTATTTTGATTTGTATTATTAATTATTTAGTCTTTACTTTAAAAATAAGATTGACAGCAAAAAACAAACAACAACAAAAACGTATGGATGAGCTCAGGCACTGGCCCTGGTGGCTTTCTTACAGGAGGTGTCTATGCAGCTCACAGGGGCCTTCGGTAATTATTATGTAAGTTTATTATAATGCAATTATTTATTATTTTAATGTTATTGTTACTCTTTTATTATTCATTTTTATTATTACTTATTATTTATGCCATATTTTGTATCACTTGAAAAAGTTTATAGTTTTACTAAGTTAGTCATAATCAGAGCATCTTATTTTACATCCTTTCATTCTCTTAATCACATTATTCTTTTCTGGAGCTCTCTCTCCAGATCTTGTTCATTTCTGTGATAAAGAAAAATAATGGTAAATTTCTCCAACCAATTAAAAATTTATAGACATTCTGAGTTATGCCCATCTGAGTTATCATTTTTTCTTTCCTTTGAGGAAAGTTATACAGTCATGTGCCTCATAGCAATGGTCAACTCTATCTGCAGTGGTGGTCCCATCAAATAATGATGCTGGAGGTGTGTAGTCGTCTCTATCATCTAGGATTGTGTGAATACATTCTGTGATGCTGGTAAAGTCTTTGCTTTAAATATGTGTCTGAATTTCATAATCCTTTTTATTTCTCTCTTAGCTTCTGCAATTTAAAGTAATCATTTTGGACATTAGATTCATGTTTGAAAAATCTTAACATCTTTAAACTGATAATAAGGATTCTATTTCTCTTAGTTCCACCTTCAAAAGGTAACTCCACAACTTCAATCTTCTGTGAAGTTTATTGTCTGCCTCATGCTTTTATGTTAATTTTAAAAGAACCTTCAGATGTAAATTATGGAATTTATGGAATTCCTAAGTAAGCAAGTGTGGAAGACACTTTGTTACCTGGTACCAGTTGCCAAGATCCCAGGCAAGGTAGGCAGTAGAATAAGCAATCTCAAAGTCTTGCAGTGATGGACTCTTAAGTCTTACGATTTAATTGTTTCTTATTTTCATGGCTTCAGGCTTACAGTCTGCCACAGATGAACTTCATCGTCTCGTGCTGTGGTAGTCTCAAAGTCTCAGTGATGCGATCAAAAGAATTAAAATAATTGCTGTCTTAAGGTCTAGTAGTCTCCAAATTTAACAGTCTCATGATTTCAGAGATACAAGACCTAAAACCCTCAAAGCTGTGTGGGTTTGAGGCTTCAGCAGACTGAAATGTTTGGTCCCAGACCCTTTTAGAAAAGATGCCTGACCATATCTTCAAAGTAGTGGAAGTCTGAGGGGACATAATTTAAATATAGATTGTTTACTTTAATGTAGAAAGAGTTAGGTGCTGTGCTGCCTCCTCTTTCTTTATCCCCTTCCATTTAATTTACATGTAGGCATGCTTTAGGTACTAACAGTTAATTTAAAAATTGGTTTCCAGAAAACCTCCTGGGGGGGAGAATATATATCTTTAAAATAGGGTATTTGACCCTATACTGGCCAGCAAAAATAAATAAATAAATACATACTTCCCTACATAAAATAGGATATTTGTGATCTAGGCTAGGAAGTGGGGAGACTAGTCAGCTTTTAAAGGTAAAAATTTCTTGGATGGGCAAAGTGATTTTCCACAAAGGGCCCATTACCTACCTTGAATTAGCAAATCCCCAATGTTTCTCACGTCCTTTGGGAAGAGCCCAGGCAGCTTTTCCACTTGGCAGCTGCTATCTTTGAGGTCTGGGGACAGGTGGGAAACAAAGGTCAGAATTTACTGGGTAGAGGGCCGGCCTGTGTCTCACTTGGGAGAGTGTGGTGCTGATAACACCAAGGCCATGGGTTTGGATCCCTATCTAGAGATGGCCGGCTGGGTGAGCATGGTGCTGACAACACCAAGTCAAGGATTGAGATCCCCTTACCAATCACCTTTTTAGAAAAAAAAAAGAATTTACTGGGTATTATTTAACTCTTTAGAATTATGGGCACTGGAGCAGGAGATACAAAAGAATGCAGTTCCTGA